AGGGTAGTGCGTGATGCCGCCCTAATAACGGGCAGGCCTTCTCAGTAGCAGTAGGTCGCTAGCCCCTGACGAGGCCGCGAAGGAGGAGTACTGAAATGTACTGGTTCTGAGCAGTCATGTTTTCCACAGTCATGCATGTACATGCTTTTTCCCATTGCTGTTTGGCTACTCTAGGAACACGTGTGAGTCCTTGTTCATTTTAACACAGCATTTGTATAGTAGTCCCAGGCTCTACATGAAGTCGTAGCCCTAATCTAGCAACTGCACTCTTTCGTTTCCTGTTGGTTGCGTAAAAGAACCTCCGCTGTGTCGCGTGCTGCCATGGTTGGGGATGAGAGAAGGGAAGTAATTACCCCACTTCTAACCTCTTCAACTACGTATGGGGCACCTGCACATCAGCAGGAACAATACCCCCTGTAGTTTCCATTTCCTTTTCCATTATCCCCTATATAACCCCAATATATACCCTATTATCATATAGTAGTTTCCATTTCCTTTTCCATTATCCCCTATATAACCCCAATATACTATAGTAAATACTTTGTCTGCGCATCGCCTGGAGGAAGCCGAGCACCTACGCCCCTTACAATCCAACAACAGCACTCATTCCCAATGGGAACCCGAAATCCTCTTACCTCGCTCGCTAGAGGGCGAGTTTACAGGGCTGAGCGGTCCTGTATTACCTCTGCAGCTACAGGACTTGGAGGGGGGGTTATTGGGGAACAAGCAGTCCAGAAACCCCAACTTGATCACCCACACTCTTGGCAGAGAAAGCTGCTACAAGTGCCAGTGCCTAAAACTTTGCTGGCTGCTGTCCGAATAGACCGCATTCCGTATTATAGGGAATCCCTCAGAAGGACCCCCACTTGCCATGCAGAACGGATACATAGAACTTGAAAGCAAACAAGCACCATAGGGACCCCCACCTACCATGCAGAATGGAAACATACAACTTGAAAGCAAACAAGCAGCAGTGCGGTGATTTCAACAGAGGGTATATGGGGATTGTTGAAATTACGGCCCAAAGAGGGACAACCTAGCAATCGGTCTGCGCACCTACGTGAAAGTTTAGCAAAAAGTGAATGTTCTTGCATCCCTGTACCTCAAATATCAGTCAAATAGGGATCTTACGGGATCAGTTTGAGGGCATGGCAATGTAGAGCTTCAGGTCGCTCCGCCTCGCCAGGAATAGCAGCACCGCAGAACCACTAAAGAAAGATACATCACGGTTTGGGCCGCAAACCCCTATAGCCTTTCACAAGCTAGGGTCTTTTGCTCTGCTTCTACGAGGAGTCTGCTAAATTACCCTAAATTTTTGGAACGCTACAAAACTTCAATCAAGTCTGGAAATCTACAGAAAATGATGGTTGGAAACACGGCACTGGGTTTGCATGGTGACGCCCCAGTGCATAAAAGACGGCGCTGGATAAGCCAAGACGTTTAACGTAGGTTTAGTAGAGACTACGTCCCACGAACCTCGAACTATGGCAGAAACGTTATCTAGCAACTCCATCCCGCCCCCCCCTCCCTCCTGAAACTTGAAACTCATACACGCATACCTGAAAGTTGGTCAACGCTGGATTTTATGGCTTCATATATATCGACATCTTATATATACACATCTCTCAAACACATGATGGAAACACAAAGCCCAGATATCTCAGTCTCCCGACAAGGAACCAGAGAAGGACACGTAAGGAATAAAGGCGACGCTTCGGCTCCCCATTGTTGCACGAAAGGGTTCTCAACAACTACAAGCCCTTTTGGCTTCGAGAAGCTCAGGGTTCTCAAAACAAGGAAACCCTTTGACAACCCTAGGGACTTGTTCTATAGAGGCCCCGGGGTCTCTATGAAGGACTCTGTGGGGCTATTTTGAACATATCCACACTCGGTAACCCCAAGCTGATCCTTCAAGCTCCAAGAGCCCCTGAACCTGAAACCCTCATCCCTACAATAAACTCTGTAGCCCGGCTTTGCCAGGCTGTGGAGGGTCTGCAGCGTCTGCTCTGTGGGGACTGCATCCTCTGGCCGGGCCTTCATGGTGAATCAAAGGACAGGAAAATGGAACATAAAATCTAAATGGAAACTGCGGGTTTGTGGTAAGAATTGCGTTGTTGGGGAAGAAAAGATGAAAAATGATATGGACATTGCCGTATTATTAGTATTAGGGTGCATGCGGGGGCTGCCACAACCATGGTCGAATATTTGTGGGGTACCTAGGATATGCAACAAGGAACCCCAAACGGTACCAAACAACCACTCCTGCTTTCGCTGTTTCTTCATGGCATTCAAGGAGTGACACATTCAAGGCCGAGCCGTTGATCGTCTTTCTGAGCAGTCTCCATGCTCATGCTCATGGATGTTCTCAAGCTGGAAGCCCACGGTCAGATCCCACATGCCGCAGTTCAAAACAAATCCATATGCTGAAGAACCCAGGCAATCTGGCCCGCTTCTGTTTTCATGAGCACGACTTCAAATCAGTTAGAGTCGGAGGCTCATCCCTAAACCCTGAACCCACAAACAAACAACTAGTTCCCTGCAGATCTACCTCACCTCGAACTCGCGAAGTGTCCCGTCATAGTCCAGGAACAGGGCTTTGAGCCCTTCCCGGCTTTCCTCAGGCAAGGCTTCATCCATGCGGTGGAGGTTTAGGGTGCTAGATTATAGGGGGTGCTCGTAACGACTTGCCGACCATCTATCTGCAGGAAGCTACGATCTCCAGCACATGAGCCTGAACGTCTACATTGCCTTTCGATGGCCAATGTATAAGCTTCAGTGGACCTGTCAGCCTGAGCGGAACGTATAACTGATGTTAAATGGTGCCTTACCCTTTATATAGGTCAAGATGAAATATCTAGGTTGTGGCACTGTGACACTCGCCTCTTGCCTCGAGTGACAACCGAGAAGGCGTTGCAGGTCGGGGCTGCTTCTTCTACCCTGTGCATATGGGTGGTTGTCAAAATTATGGTCCTTTTTTGGGTACCCTAAATATTAGGTGCCGTATTATAATAGGGATCCAAAAAGGGGCCATAATGTTGACAACCACCCATATCGAAGCCCTCAGCAAATCAACACATATCAACATCTACATACGGACATGATGCTGTTGGTCCGAAATAGTAGAAGCTGGAAACCTGGGCCCTCACATCTTCAAGTCGTAGGATGGGGCAGGAGACAAGTTGCGGAGGAAGCCGCGCCTACCCACACGAACCTCAACAAGGATCAATCGAGCCGCAATTGGCCCTTGTTTTCTCCTTTTTCCAAGCTGTTACGCCAGGCCCCTTTCACAAAAAGCGCGGGCACTGACAAAATCTCCGAGCTAGGGGCGAAGAATTTCGCAGCGAAGTGGTCCTGCCAGCATCACAAATATGGCATGTCCTGGTTCCTGCATTAATATGGAAGACGTACCTTTAATGATAGTTTTGCGGCTTTGCCGCAGAGGTTGGTTTTCACGATGCCTGCAGGCTTTCAATCATTGCTGTATGCCCGTCTGAGCATGTCAGTAGTAGGGTTTCTCCGATTACGAGGCAGGCACACTTCTTATAAAACAGCCACTTGAGATTCCAAGACCCTGAACCCTCGCGATCAGCGTCCTGCAAGTATTGCATGGCCAATCTCTCCTGAGATGGAAGCATCTGGCAGCTTGCGCCGCATTGTAAAGGCCAAAAGCTTGGCGTGATGACTGGTGATTATTGCGAACAACACGAGAGGTCATAAGGATATTGACTGTTTCGCTTCTCGCGAGAGGCACCGGACGATTTCTACTAACCATTTTGCAGGCAATGCGGCAAGGGCATGTCTTTTCGTCTCTCTTCCACATAATATATTGCAGCGGAAAGGATGCAAGATTGAGGCACCCGAACAAAGTCGTGCACTAGCAGAATGGGAAGTTAGCATGCTGTTTGCTGCCCTAAGCCATTTTGCAACAGGCTTGCCGGCTCAATCCCTGATGCAAAATGAGGCCTACAGGCCTAAGACAAGCACAGGCATTTCCATTCAGCGGCCTTCTTGCTATGAGAGATGTTGTTTCTTGCTCTCTCAAACTTGGCCCAAGAAAAACAGAACCTTCATAGTGACAAATAATCCCCACCGCTACTATGTTGAGCATGTCGTTTTGGTGGCGGTAAGAGGTGTCACTGTTCATTTAAACCGTCTTTTGCTCGGCTACCTGCTTTTGCGTCAAGCTTCGGGGAAATTATTCAGGACGAGCATATGTTTGGGGTACCCTCAATAATGTCAAGTTTTGGTGGCCAAAAGCTTAATTCTGTAGGTTTGAAGACATAGAACAGCTAGTTGGATTGGGATTACACTAATACTAACACTGATACGAATACGAATACTAGTACTAATAATACTGATAATGCTAATACGAAAACTAATACTACTAGTACTACTCACACGTATAACCTTAGGATTCAGCTCAGACCGGAAGAAGAATCCGAAATCTGAACCAAAGACCATGAGTCCTGAACCATACACATCCCAGCTTAAATCTGAACGAAGAAGGCAGAGCCAAGAGTGCCCTCATCACCACACATACAGCCCGAACCCTCAAACAGTGGCCCTCTTCTTAAAGATTGCCCGGAATAAGGATCATGATATTTGGGGCTATAAGGGGAAGCCCTTTTTTGGAAGTACTTGTTCCCCTTAGAACGAAGCCTTAACCCAAAGCCCTGAACTCCACTTCATGACCTTCCTGCCCAAAAGAACCCACGAGACGCGCCCAAATCCTCTGCAAGCTCTCTGTGCAGCAGGACTATTCAAGTAACCGTCAAGCCCGAGGTGAATCCCTGAACCTACCCCAACCTTACGACAAGAGGCAGGTCGAGCAATGCGCGTACCTTTAGAAGGGTTCTCCAGCTCCGCAAGCATACTTCGACCCCAGGCAGCCTGAGCTTGCCCAGACCCCTGGGAGGATCTATCCGTTTGGGGGTCTGGGTAGTTCTGGCGCTCTCGGCTTAGGATCTGGGATCTAGGATTTGAAAGTTTCTTTAAATGGGTGGAACACAAATGTAGACGAAAATGCTATAATATGTACTAGAGGGACCCCCAAAACGGTAGCCCTAATTTTGGGAAATTCCAAGCCCTAAAGATCCCCTATCTATAGCCCCTTTAAGGATACCCCTAATTTTGGGAAACTCCTAAATTTGGGGTGAAGGGTTGAGGCACTCGAACTTAGAGTTGGCGATTTCGACGCTCGAGTAGCCACAGCATGATGCAAAAACTGGGACGGTGGTTTATGGTTTCGGGTTGGGTTCTGCCCCCACCCAGTAACAGCCTATATTAGGATATTAGGGGTCCTACTAAGGGCTATATATACCCACTATTCTAAATGTTATCCATCTGTTACTGAGTGGGGGCAATATCCAAGTTTCGGGTACGGGGAGCGTTGAGGGTTTAGGATTTGGGATTTAGGGTTTGGGCTTTGGGATTTGGGTTGTTGGGTTTTTCCTCCAGGAGAAACCCTGGTCAGGATGATCTTGCGACTCCTGGTATCTCCCCTAAATCAACCCCAGAATATACCCCTATATAATCCCCTAAATAACCGCCCTGAAGGAGTTGAGACTATAGCTCAGATGGTAATCATAACCATAGTCTGGAATGGGGCTAGGAGAATTAAGCTTGCAGCCAGCCTTTGCTAGCTCAACGTACACGCTCAAACGAACCTCATCCACCCTCCAGATGTATGAGGATTCAGAGAGGGTTCTGGGATGAGGATCTTTTTCTTCCGTTCAACAATTATGCACAACCTCAGTTTTTTGATAGCTTCTAAAAAGAGGAGCCACGAAGCCGGAACCCTCAATCCTACAAAAACACTTGTGTCCGTAGCATACTCTACAAAAGGAGAAAAGTGCCTGGAAAGGCCTGTGGCTAACATCCTTCCTAAGACCTGTAAACATATCTAGGCTATCATTTGGTATGCGATCATTGTACGTCTCTATATCGGAGGTCTAGGTACCCCGAGTTTGCAAGTGCCGAATACTCATTTAGCATATAGCGCCCCAAGCCTATACCACACTTTTTTTGTTATCGTCATCCGAATCCTTCGTGCCCAAATATTGGGCACTTGGACCCTCAGGGTACCTCCTGAGCTAACCTGCCCTAATATTCTATAAGATACTATAGTGCACTGTAATGTACACAAATATAAGCCCCAGCCCACAGCCGAGGATGGAGCAGAGTCATTTTCAATGATGGCCTGCCGCATTCGCTCCGTCACCTCCCATCGCTGATCCTGTCCAACATGCAACTTACGTGGATCCGGGTGCTTATGGACTTAAAGCTTTAGGATTTAGGGATATAGGGTTTAGGATTTAGCGTTTTAGTTTATGTCAGGATTTAGGGTATAGTGAGTTAGGGTTAAGGGTGCCTCGGAGTTTTTGGGAGGATCCTTTGGAAACTGCCCTATGAAGGTGCAGGACACAATCAAAAGAGTGACGTTCAGATCCCAGGCAGGGTTTCCCAGCTGATCTGTGACAATGCGGACATCATGAGCTTCTGCTGCCTGAGCGAAAGACAGTGACCACTACATTTTGGGGCTGCTTAGCTTGGGGATCTGGGTTGGCCCCTAAAAGCCTTTGAAAAATATTAGCATATGGGGTCCCTTATTAAAGCCATNNAATATCCTAGGGGCCTACCCAGGGATCCAGAGTAGCAAAACTGCAGGGATAAGGTTCTGGAGCTGGGACGGTCATGCCCTAACTTCACTGCCAGAAGCCTGAACCTTTAGCACGGAAGCATGCATACCACAAGCAAGCCAAAACAAAGGCTCATAAACTCATAAGAGCCATAGTCTCAATTCCTTATATCCCCCTGTAAAGCCCTATAATCCTCCCCTATATACCCCCCTTTAAGAAGTTTAACGCGAGGCTGTAACCCGAGAAAAAAATGTGCAGAATCATTATCTACCCAGACCCGTAGGAGGATCAAGAAAGATGATCCCCCTTTGAGGGGTCCCAGAAATCACCCAATAGACGTATAGTTGGGACCGTTTTCTTTCTTTAGATCCTTATCTGGATATATACCTGTGATCTTTGGTATTTTGGCTTTCTAGGTTTGGCAATACCTCCGGCACCCTGGGGATATGGGGCTAAAGGGGGCCATGTCCTGTAAATCTCAGAGAAGGTTGCTGCTCCTGGGCAATGTATATACACAGGAGCACTGGCTGCTATAGTCCCCCTTAAGTAGATAGAACATGTTGTATATTACTATTGGGAACTTATTACAATATAACCAAAGCCATATTCTATCTTCAACACACATGGAATAGAGGCAGTGACAAACACAAGCATCATAGCAGTGGTACAAGTAACTCAGGCCCTTTCTGAATCTTGTACCCATGTATTCAACTTCGAGAAACCCCCAGGTTCTTATTGGAACATCAGCTAATGTCCTCTCCCAGGCGGTTGCCGCGCGTGAGCTCAAGACCAATCTTAAGCGAAGAGGCGAAGGGTTCAGAGATTGGGCATTCAGGCTTCTGTTTGAGACTTTGCCTGTAGACTTGACAGGAGTCATAGTCCCCCTTAAGTAGATAGAATATGGGTTACATGGGGATCTTATTTAAAAAATACCCAAGAGTATATTCTATCTACTTAAGGGGGACTACATATTACTGTTGGTGTATGAGGTCCCCCACGACTTGGGGCTGGCAAGTTCCTGCAGTTCATAATCTCAGGAGCAATATGGTCTGGTGCCTTTTTCATTCATCCACTGCACAGGTCTAGATTTTTGGGCTTGGCGTATAGGAGCCAGGCGGGGGGCGTGGCTTTGGCTTCATTTCTGCAGAAGGAGCTCTCAGCGTGCTCTCTGAACTCCCTAACTTCTGTAAGACTTGCGTACGTGTAGCTAGCCAATAAACGACCAGCAGAACACCATGTAGTTTTGTGCTTTGTGAACGCCACCCGTTGCGCTTCAGATTTGGGCGGACAAAGGGATCAATGATCAATCCCAATGAGGCTACCATCCATTCCCTTCATCGCCACACCGCATGCAAACTTGATGCCTCGTGAAGCTAAAGCACAAACCCACATGGCCGCTGTAAGTACGATTCATCTAGACATATGTACATATGTATATATATATATATTGCCTTGCGCTTCTTCATGCGTTTTTGGAGAGATATCCAACAGCAGAGCGGCTGCGATGGCGTCGGCAACAGCGTCGTCATCATACGGATTCACTACGATGGCGTCAAAAAGCTCCTCGGCCGCTCATCTACAGAAAGATTCCTGGAACATGGGGGGTCCATCTTTTTCTGCCACTGAAAGGCTTATCCCTATTTTAAACCCTGAATAAGACCGAAAAAGACAAATCATTATGGGACAACTTAAGAGCCCCGAGACAACCTTGGCTGAGAACAGTTGAAAAAAGTCCGATACCTGTGAGGTGTGTTTCGCAGTGTTTGAAACAAGTTAATATGTCGTGATCTTCTTTTCACAATATGGTAGCCACAAACGGAACATTCATCTTACTGTTTGTTGCGGACGTTTATCATAATATTCCTATTTTTCAATACCGTATGCAAGAAACTTCCAGCCATAAACCCTCGAGCCCAGAACAAGAGGAACGCGTATAAGGCCAAAAAACAAAACAAAAAAAACCCACACAACTCTGCCCACATTCCTGCCCAAACCGCTAGACGTGGACCCTATACCCTAAAGCTTATATAATTTCTATTGCCCCAAAAACTCGACCCGTTTACAACTGGACTTGCTGAGCGCCAAGCCCTCGATCCTAAACTCTCATCTGAGGCAGGAGTTTGAGGCCATAAACATTATAAAGTTGATAGCTTTATTGGCGTTTAGGGTCTAGGGCATTAAAGGTAAGAACGACTTCATTTTTCTAACCTACAAGTACCCCTTTAAACCCTCCAACTCCAAAATACCCTCGAACCGACATGAGCGCCCAGGCCTGTGCAGCACCTGCTAGTTCTGAGAGGACCACTGTGCCTAGGATTCTCCCAAAATGAAAAGTCCCTTTGAAGGGATATAGGGGATATGTTGTATAAGGATTGGGCTAATAACGTGCCACGGGTTGCAAGAAATTCGGGGCCTGTTCTTGTAAGTCCTCTTAAGGATCATTGTATGTAAGGATGTTACAATTTTGGGGTCTACACTGGGGTCCCCTATTTCTGGATATCCCGTTAAGGAAGTTTCTCAAAATGTAGGGGAAAATCAAACGCGCTCTGCAAGGGATATATTATATACGGAGTATGTAGAGTGTAGGATTCAAGGTCTAGAGCCCCTAGAAGAGCGTGATGATGTTGTGTAGAGTTTGGATTCGGGGTGTCGAGTTTCTGAAAGGAGGTGGACTTCAATGGAATCCAAAGAGGGTCAAAGAGTGTAGGATGAGGATTGTATAGGGTTTAGGGCTAGACTTTCTGAAAATGACATTCTTGTAGGGACCCCAGCTGCATGTATGCATATTGGCTCTGTTGAAGAATTTCATAGAATTTCTATGCAGGATGTTTTGTGAGACTCTCATTGGTGTGGGTGCGCTTCATAGGGCGTAGGGAAACTCAGGGTGTGGGCTTGCATTTCGGTTTAAGCGGCTTCTGATCTTGTTCCAAGGCCTTAGTTCAGAAAAGCCCGGACAAGCCTGATTTCGGTGCAACGTTTAGGGTGCTTGGGCTTCACGGGCTGAACCTAGCTGTAATTCCAGCAGTTGTGGTGTGGGGTGTGCGTACTTCAGTTTCGTGAGCTAGGTCGAATCACAGGGCTACAAAAACATGGAGTCACCATAACCTATCTGTTCTAGTCAGTCAGCAGATGTTCTTTGCGCTTCTCTTCAGCGGGCTTCTTATGGTCCTTGAAACAAGGGGGTAAAACAGCGATTGAGGATTCTAGTCCTTGAAAAATCACACGTCCTAGTCCTCAAATTGCATGCACCTCGTAGTGAACGGCCAGAACAAGTCTTGGCTTTCCATCAGAGTCCTTCTTTGAAAGCCCCTGTAACAAGAGTGATAACAAATGGGAGTTTAGGTTGGGGCCCCCTGTTCATGGCAACGCCTATTTAGGACCAACTATCATGATCAAAAAAGGGGGCAGCTTCACGATAAGATTGCGCAGAAAGCATCAGGATATGAACATCACTTGGAGGTCCATGCGACTTAATTACTACCTATAACTGGGATTAGAACTCAACTAGTAATTTCTCCAAACTGCTGTACAGGGGTTCCCCCACCTGAACCCCAAACCCTAAACCCCATATGAGCTATAATCTAAACTCCTGGTATCCCCATTTATAATCCATATAGTAGTCCCCTATATAATCCCTGACATAACCCCCTTTAAGGTGTTTAAGCTATAGCTCATACAGCGCTAAACCTGCCAGCAGCCCCTCATAACCGGACATGGCCTGGAACCACCTTGTCGATGCTCCGGTCTTTGGCGGCAATGAATTCCTTTGCCTCAGTATCTGCTATGGTGAACTTGGAACCCTAGAAAAAAATACAAGTTTTTGCTGTTCCTTAGGATTAGAAGAAGCACCAAATAGAAGCTATTTGCACATACCTCTCGGTCTGTGGGCAGGCCTAGGAAGTGACCGTAGGGTCCTGGCGATAATGACAAAAAAGTTAGCCAGTATTTGGTAGTTTCCCCTAATAGGAGGACCCGAATATCGAACCCAAAATACTATAACCCTTATTATTCGGACCCCAAACTGTACCCCTAATATTGGAAACCCCCAATCTACGTTGAGGGCTTTGACGGCCAAGCTTCAGACCACCCCACTCCATTCTACACATCATTCAATTCTTGTTTCGCACTGGAGTGGCTCTATGTTTGTCGTGATGCTTGGTCTCCCCTGTGTCCAAAACAGTCCTGGAAGCCATACGCCGGCCATTTGGCACCAAACCCCCCGAACTCTGAAGACTTTGTGCAGCTTGAAGGCCACCAAGTTCATCCCGTCGATCAGTGGCGTCACAAGACCTCAGAGGGATGCGGATATAGTTCCCTTTAAGTAGATAGAATATGGGGTGTATGGGGATCTTACTGTAATAAACCCAAAGCCATATTCCATCGACTTAGGGGGACTACAAGGGCTGCAGATGTTGAACATTAGCCATCCTACAGGGAGCGGTGGGCATTTCCGGACCTGGGGATACGTCTTGTGTATCTGAAAAAGGCGATAAAATTGCTTTCGTGTCAGCGGAGGTCCCTAAGGTTTTTGGAGCCCCCCACGTTGCAATCCTGTTCTAAATTCGCGAAGGTAAGGCCTCAACACGTCTGGACTACGTACCACTCTGGTATAAAATCATGGAAGCAAAAAAATGTTACGTCCATGACGAGCATCTGTATTTCCATGATGACAGCACTGCGAGAGGAACTCTTGTCTTCCGACTACTCCTGCATGCTGCTACTGCTACCACGGCAGCTGCTACTACAGCTGCTGCTGCTGCTCCTCTTCCTGATCCTCCTTCTACTACTTCTCCTACTATACCACAACGACTGACTCTCTGAGCTACTCTCAATCTCTGCGCCAACGCATATGCTGTCTTGCTTCCCCTAGGGGTCCAAGCATGCAAACCATACCTACATGGGGCCCTAAGGTCTGTAACTATCACCTACATTGGACTATTTGGATCCCTTGAGTTCACGCCAAGAAGCAGCAGTCTGCTCGCGCGTACAGTGCCGCCAGTTCCGGCATCGGCACAGAGCGATGGATGTATACGATCGGCTGATGCCTTGGCCAATACAACGCTAATGCGCACATCAGAAAGCTCAAGGGCAACTCGTACACGCACAGATACTAGGACCAGCAATTAGCAGCAGCTGCCGCTTGCATGATCGTTGTGATGGTTCATGCGAAACCTGACAGCATTGGCATTTCCAAATAGCCAACAACTGCAGGCGTGGCTTTCCTGAGCATGGTCGCGGCCGGTAACATGGGTAGTGGCGATGATGCCAGCGGCGCGGGTGCTCCTCCTCTGCCTCCTCATACGCGATTTATACTATCAGTGCCACCACAGGACACCTGGAACCTATCATGCAAGCCACAGGTGTACCCGCGCGTCGGTGAGCATAAGGTCTGCAAGCAGGCAAGCAACCGTGCTTTTGATAGTCTTACCAGTCACCGTGGGAACCCTGGCTCCGCCAGCGCTTGAATGCGCTTGAACTTGTTTCGGTAATTGCGGTACCGGTTTCGTGAGCAAGTCAACAAACACCACGATGGAGCTCGAAGCAAATGTATCGGCACGCCAAGGATTCTTGGCCTGCATCCGTGCTTCAAGTTTGTGGGACTGTACTCTATACTGCTTACATCATTGCTCTGGTCGTGCGAGAAAAACACCAATAACATTAGCAGGATGCGCGTGTGCATGCAAGCTGCGAGAGAGTTGAGAAGTTGCCATTGATGGTGCTGATGCTTCTGTGCACCTGTCATTAGGCTTTCCAGGTTTTAGCACTTGTGGCGTTGAGTTGATCCTGAGTTTTTTACCTGACGCTCCTTCTTGGACCTGGTGATTTGCAGGGAAGAGTAGTCCTTAAATAATTCTCATCAATAGCGCTCTACGTTATTCCCAATCCCTACTGAGCCCCAGGGAGTTCTCGGACAAGTCCATTCTACGGTCCTTACCCTGGACCCTCAAGGTTGATTCTTCGAAGCGTCCATAAGGTTCACGCAAGGGATGGCTCGACCTCATGCCTGCATACCTCACCTTAAAGTTCCTATAACCGCTAGTTAATCGTGTAATTGTATTATTGTAGTTTCCATTTTCTTTTCCATTATCCCTATATCATACCCCCATATTATAACCCTTCTTCTAGTTGTTAGAACCTCTGCACAGAGACCTCCGAGGCTGCCTCTTCCTCAATCTTCTGGTACTCCTCAACGTCGCGCCTGCCACAGGTCGGGCCATGCGGTTGGTAGAGCTGCACATTGAGGACTTAAATTGAGGTATCGCGGTTCTTTTGGAGAAGGAAGAATTGAAGTGTAATGGTTGTAGGGAGCAGGCTGTGGCTTTGCAAGTGTTGGGTGTAAGTCGCGTACGCTGCCTGGGCACCACGGGCGTTATTTGTGGCTCGAAAAAGAAAACTGCTAGTGCCTGAGTTCGGAAAGTCTTGAACTGTCCTCTGCTCATCCCGTGTGTATTTTCGATACCCGATTCCTGTTCGATTCATGTTCTTGGGGGAAGCCAAGGTCATCCTTTGATCTTATTTCGGGGTTCTTATTTTGCCCGACTGGGTTAAACCGGAAGCCTGGAAGTATCGGTCTATTCAGATAACTGAGCCTGAGGGTTCCTACAGGGCAGACAAACTTAGACGAATACCACAACTGTAATTCTAGATTGTAGGACACACTTGGCAAGCGGCTTGAAGGTTACCAGCCTCTATTTGTGACAGAACGCGTGCTGGAATCTGTGGCCTACGTTCCCACACACCCACTTCCTTAAACCAGATCGCGTCTGTATCCGCTGGTGCCTGCTTGGAACCGCAATGAACACGAAGACCGTCTTGTTGTGGTCCAGGCGTGTCCTCAAGATTGGTTCAGCTAGCGGACTCGCTCTTCTTTTCTGGCGTCCCCGCCTACAAGGTCAACCAAACGAACTAGCAACCAGAGAATGGCATGGGCCCCGCAATATTCAATCTGGCTTCATGGATATTCCTCTGATTTCCTCTGCATTTTTAGCCAAAGCAACTCTGAATTGTGGCGACGCCTGGCGCTGCCGAATGAGCTTAGGACTCGGGGTTTGTGCTCTAGTGTTCCGTGGGACTGCACACACTGCAATAATCTGTCCAACGTCCGGCATTAAACTCTGCCGACTATGGTACCTGCGTGGACCCCAAAAGTAAGTCAAACAATAGCGCCATGACCCCAGAGTTAGCCAACAAGCCCATTATTCTACATACCTTTTGGGATTAAGTACACGTTATTGGACAGTGCGGCACAGCATCTCGGCAGGAGGCTCGAACCCCCCGACGAGCATCTTCACGACGTTCGCGCCTTCAAAAAATGTATCGAATGGCATCTACCTGATTTTATTCGGGGCTGTCTCAAGATGGCGGTCCTATAGCAGCGCATATGGGCAGGATCCAACTACTTTGGAGCATGATATATGGGGGCGGGGGGCGTTTTCAGACTGCCCTTGACATTTGTCCTTATGCCAATAGATTCCCAAGTTCGCGTCGAGATACTTGTCGGGATGCGCGCAGGCTTGAATAACTCTGACAGACATTAATGGGAGAAGGGTGACTTGCGCGGACTCTCACCTGGCAGGCAGTTTGGATATACATATATATATATAATATACACACAAATACAAATATGTTTGTTGATAATGATATGGCCAAATAAATACATACATACCATTGCATACCATCACATGCATACATTCACATACGTACATACATCATATTACATTACATTACATCACATTACATTACATTACAATTCATTGCATTACATTACATTACATTACGTTACATTACATTACATTACATGCAAACATACACATGCGTACATACATACGTGCATACGTACATATGTACATACTCTCATACGTACCTATGTACATACGTACATCCATGCATACGTATGGGTGCGATGCTGCAAGCCACCCTCCTGAGGCCTAGTTTCCAAAGTGCTGATGCTGCGAAGGGCGTGGGTTTCAGAATCTCACACCCTGCTTTAGGAGGACCCCCCACCCTGTAATAGTGGTATAATAGCAATATGAGAGGACCCTAGTATAATCCCTATTATCCATAATAGTCAGTATTACGGGTGGGGGGTCCACCTAAACCCTACTTGTCATGGGCTGGGAAGAACACTCACTGACAAGGGACAGGTTGTCAGCTCATACACAGCTCACCAGGAAAAGGCTCACAACCACACCAAGCAAAGTCTAATCCAACCCGGAACACATTTTTTCAAAACAGCATTCCATCGCTTGCCATGGCAGGCTGCGCCAAGGCGTGAGCTTACTATTATTACTATTACTACTATTGTGAAGCATTTTTACTATTAATATCTTACTAATGTTGTTCTTACGACTATAATTACTATTACTATTGTGGCTACCAGTACTATCATTCCTACATGAAACCCCTGGTGCCATGGTGGTGCCCCCATGTTGCCGGCCAAGGTCTCCCTGAAGTAAGGTGGGGATGTTTTGAAAATGGATGTGCAGGTCAACGCGACGGCTCCCCCGTCCTGACTGACAGGCAACACCTGTTAACCAATACAAGGTTTGGGGACTTTGAGGTACAATACCTCCATGGAGAACTTCCGATCGCTATATCCGAGCCCTGATACGCCCGACATCAAAGACAGCTGGTTCTGAAGGAGACGACTTGGAGTCATGAACATCTTGAACACCTTCTCGTGATTAATTACTGGTAATGGCAATGGCCGCTTTCAACAGCAAACCCATCAACCGTTCAATGACGGCGTGCCACTACGGGGATTGTCAGGGAACTGGCTGGCGGCCGCTCTGGAATGCAGTGTGGAGTAGGGGCTGGAGGTTGGCACGATGCATGTGGTGGAGTGTTGAGTTCAAAGCTGGCGTGGAATTTTCGAAGGCCGTTTAAAGAAGAGCACGTAGCAACCCACACCGGATCGCCCCACTTTCGGCATGTTGACAAGCCCCGTCTGAAAAAAGGATCTGCAGTACGTGTAACTTCCAATCTATGTTGTATTGCCTTGGTTTCGCTACATCGTGGCTAGCTTACGCGCTAACCAACTTGGTCCATCTCTCAGTGTATGTCCGAAAAAACACCCTCAGGCTTGCGACTTAACCCTAATAAAAGGATTTGGACAACCCCAACCCCCAAATCAGGACTTTAGGACTATCATCTGATGGTTATAGGGTCCTCATTTTAGGGGTTGGCATTGCCAAATTCCCCTTAAGCCCTAAACCCTATAAACCCTGAATCTGGCCTATTCGTCGCAGGTTGGATGTAGCGAGCCCCCGGTTTGCCTGCCACGCAAGGGC